ATGGATGTAGATTCTCTGGACACGACAAGCAACTATTGATGAGTGAAAATGTAAGAATAACCACTGGATGTTTTTTTTTTTTTTAATTATTATTATTTTGTTTCTTTAAAAATGGCTTTATGATGGAAAAATTTTAAGCTATATAAATAAAATGCTTCACTCAAAGAAATCACCCATTAACCATAGTTCACACATGAAGACCAGAACGTCTAGCAAATTAAAAACATTTTAACTATTAATACAATTATATTATACAAAAAAATCTTTATTTATTATATAGTTATTACACAAACAATAAGGTCATGCCAAATTGTGAATGTTGTGCATCTTGCTGTAGTTATAGTTAACTATAGTAACTATACACTGCAAAAAATGATTGTGATTTAAACAGTAAAAGACTGTAAAAATGCTACAGTAAAAACCTGTTAACTGGTTAACAGTAAGTTTCCATACTATATTTGGTGAATAAATGTAATTACATTTAATGTAATTTTACAGTAAAATACTGTTAAAAATATGTTTTTTCAAAGTGAAATATAAAAAGTCGTTGTATAATTTACAGTGACAAACCGTAAATTTACACTCCCAGAATTCCCTGCATGACACTTCATATTTTATGTTTTTTTGTTGAAATAACATGTTTCTTAGTTTTTTCTTATCAGTTGTGAAGGGTTTAATCTTACATCTAATGTTGTTAAATGAATGTTTATTGCATTATTTCAGTATCGTGTCACCATGATGGGGTTTAGTGTTTGTGTGAATGACACTGTGTGCACCTTCTATATATAAGTATTGCCCTCCTCAGCTCGTAGAAAAGCTGTTTGTGAAAAGATAATGTAGCTCTTGAGCGATTAAGCTATTTAGTTGATAAAATTGTGGGGCAGCACTAAAAAGTTTGTTCCTGAATGTCTGAGTTCGGCCGCAACGTGATCTGTGTGTGTGACTGCACTTAACATCAAACTGCTTTTGTTTCACACAAATGCTGGCACAGACGTGCATAGTCGCTTTGAACTCGTGCATCTTCGGAAGCGGAGCTGCGCGGAAAGCACTCAAAGCGAACTTCCGCCAACACCGCGATGACGTAATATTTGCCGCGCGCACCTAAGCGAACTTGCAGACGCATCGAGTATAAATCAGCCTTGAGGGTGTGTGCGTTAGATACAGTGAAGACAGCGCGTTAGTTTAGAACTCTTCTAATTTCTTTTTTTTTTTTATTGTAGAGAGTGTGTTAATTTGTGCAATGATAACGTACCAGCAATGTAAATTCTTTTTTTAAATATATTAGAATGAGTACATTACAATATACATTTATTAGAACAAGTACATTATTAAATGGCACTAGTAAGCAGTGTTTAATAAACAGCTGTTTTTCTAAATTCTGCTGAGGTGAAATTCAGTGCAGTCATGTATCGTGATACGTATCGTATCGTGGCCTCTGTATCGTGATACGTATCGTATTGTGACTTTGCTGGTGATACACAGCCCTAGTAACTATAGTTTTATTAAAGTAAAATATATATATGTGTGTATGTGTATGTGTATGTATTAGGGGTGTAACGATTCGCTCGTTTTCTCGATGCATTGATTACAAACCTTGACGATGCATATGCATCGATCTTGAAACATGATTTTTGAATCGTGAATCGTCAATTTCGGACAGTAATCGATTTTAAACGCTAATAATCGAATGAATCGCGATTTCTATAGCGATTCAATGCTTTCAAATTATATACACATTAAATTACTACAAGCACAAATGAATGGAGACCTTGAACAGTGTTCGTGCCTCGCATCTCTGCTTCACGCGCTGCACTATTTACCGCCTGCAGTGACTGTCACAGGATTGCGCTCGCGCTCCGTTCGTCTCACTGACACATTTTTTGAGCAGCTGATGTGTGATCTCTCCTTAGTACTCGTGGCTAGTAATGCTAAAGTGAAGTAGTTTTACTTTTCTGTAGTTTTTCAGTGGCTCTCTCCTCTCGGTCATGCCGACATCATTACCTGAGCAGTTGAAGGCTGCGCATTTATTGCATGGACAGAGCAAAAATGTAAGTGTCTAAAGCATACGCACAGTTCCATTGAATGATAAATGTGTTTTAACAATGTTGTTAAACCAAATGTACGAAGGAAACTTTTCAAATAACCACAGCATTAACAACAACCTTGAAATAAGAGCGCGAGGTTTATCTGATAATCAGATGCATGAAAGTAGCTTTTGTTGCTATAGCAAACAGACATCGGGCCGTTTTCTTTCAGAATCATCATTCGCCGATGGAGAGGAAAAGTTAAATAGCATTTTATTTTATGAAAATTAGATAAAGAAGTTTTCGCACTGCAAGAGAAGTGATCTCGCGCTCAAAGAACTCAAAGAACGTGCCAGAAAGTATACAATTGCCATTAGGAAAAAATGATAGATTACAAATGATTGATTATTGTCCAGCAGTGTATTTGATTTCTTATAGCAAATTCAAAGTATGAGATAAGAAAATAACTCCTTGTAAAAAAATATATATATAATAATAATAATACATACATAGGCCTACATAAAATTATTGTATTTGATATTTCTGTCACTTCTGAAATGATGGCTACACCCCTGGTGTGACAAAATGTTAGCCTATATATTAAAGCTCTTTTTTAAAATCTTGGCTTACATAAAGTTCTACATATGCCATGTCATGCCATAGCATCATTAAACTAGCATCTAACAATGGACAAAAGTGTTTTTTCATTCTCTAACCATAAAGGCTGCTGTGTAATTCGCCCCCTGACTAAGCATTTAAAGAATTTAGGGGAAGCATTTAAATAATCCTGTGAATGTACTTAAAGAATGCAGAATCCAATCGTTAATCGAATCGAATCGAATTGAATTGTGAATCGAATCGAATTGAATCGTTCTGAATTTGCAAAAATCGTTCTTGGATTGAATCGAAACCCTATGAATCGTGAATCGAATCAATTCGCTTTCTACCCAAAGATTCACAGCCCTTGTATGTATGTATGCATGTATGTATTTATTTATTTATTTATTAATAATTATATTATTATATTTAATATTTGATTAATTTCTTCTTTCTTAATAATAATAATAATAATGTAATGAGGAAGAAATTATTAAATTATTATAAAAACAATATTTTAATTTTAAATTTATGCAACATTTATCTTTTTTCAAACTGCCTTGATTTCCCAACAATGGATAATGCACATAAGTAAATAAATAAACCCAATACAAGTATTAATAATAATAATAATTATTATTAGTAGTAGTATTATTATTATTATTATTATTATTGAAAAAGAATATAGTAAATTAATATAAAAAGAATATTTAATTTATTCAACATTTATCATATTTTTCATACTCACTCAATAAGTTCAGTTCTAAAATCTAGCAACAATGGATAATGCACACGCAAAATAAGTAAATATTGTGTAAAACATAATTATAATAAAGACTGCTATAATTAAATTCCATTATATCACAGATATCAACAGTACATGAACCATCAGCCACAATCAGCTCCAAGTAGACTTGTCAAGTTTTGGAAAACTTATGTTAAGTTGACAACTATTTTCCAAGTCCTTTGAAAATGGCTTATTCAATCATATCTCATAACTACAAACATAAAGACCAGATCAAATCCAGGCTACAAGTCTGTAAGGTCCTTCAGGATATGGAAGTCTGTTCAGTCTGCTAGAGTGAAATAATCCCTCTCTCCGTCACACTCACTCTTTCACCCTCATCTCTCCATCTCTGCTCTCTAATCGTGGAGTATAATGTGACTGATCTCAGGAATCAGATGTGTGGAGATTATCTGCGGCACATAAGACGGACGCTCCAGAGGATAAATCCCACAATGCAACATCTACTCTATAAACTACACTCTAAAGGAACACAGAGAGGGGATGTAGTGAAATACATCGCAGATCATTAAGCTTCTCATCTGTTGATCCTGAAGATCTTAATTCACTGCTTTACGTCAAGCAGCAGCTTAACAACTCAACTGTGCCACCACTACCTTCCTTCAAGCCATTAAATGTGAAAATTAGAAAGAAAAATGCTTGAGAAGAGATGTCAGCAGTAAAGCCCAAAGCCTGCAAGTTAGAAGACTGTAATATGGCTCTTTCTTTCATTTGTAAATTGTTTTATTTTATTTACTACTACAAAATCAAAAGTAAATTATAAAATATGTTTTTGTGCAAAGAAAATTAAGCCTAAATTTAAGAAACTTTTCATAAAAAGGTATAATGGTAATAAAATAATATGAAATAATAATAACAACAACAACAACAACAATAATAATAATAAACTTTGTGGTCTAAAATAGGCTTCATTTTCTTTATGCACTATACATATTTATGTTAAATTTAAGAGATTATTTTCTTGAAAATGAATAATAATAGTAATAAAACAAATAATAATAATAATAATAATAACTAATAATAACATATTTATGGTTTAAAATAGGCTTAATTTTCTTCATGAAATATATACATATTCATACTAGTGAAATGAGAAGGTATTTATTTATTTATTTAGTCAGCATGACCTAGTCTGATAAGCATTATCTCTATTTACTTGTTAATACACATTCTTATTCTTAATGTGCACAATTTATCTGTGCACCTCATTAAAAAAAAGTTAATATTAAATAATAGTCAAACATCAATTTAGACTGTTTCAGCAGACTTGCATTCAGTTCAATGCATTCAGCAATTCTGGTATGTAAAAGCTCATTTTTAGGATCCAATGTATTCTCAATGGATAAAATCAAGTCCTAAACCACATATTTAACTCATTAAATGTCCTGATTGAGAAATGTCATAATACAGAAGTAAAACGGGCTGCAAACTGTAAAAAAAATACTTTTTGACGGTTTTTTTCTGTTGATCTCAAGACTGACAGCATGTGTTGTGTGCTGCTCAGCGCATCTGACTCTCTCACATGTACAGTACTACCGCTCTGAATCTGCCTTTGTTTTGTCTCTGTGCTGCAGCGTGGAGCTGGACTTTAAACTGCAGGAAGATAAGCTCCAGTCTCTGATGAAGAGACTGTGTCCCGCAGAGGAGTCCCTGTTCCCCCCTCTGCCGTATCCTCAGGAGACCATCGGCTCCACGCCTAAACGCAAGTCCAAAGCAGAGGCTAAGAAACACGCGCGCTGGAAACTCTGGTTTCTGTGACCGCAGGATTACACACAACTGAGCATCATATTTTCAGTACAGGAGCATCTGTTCACTTGATTTGTTGTTTGATCAGGACGATTCAGGAAAATCCTATCAGATTGTTGTTGTTGTTTTATTTTGGTACTTTATGGATGCGAGTACTGAACTAGGTTTGGAAATATCGCAGCTAATATTCATTAAAAAAATATATATATGTATATGTATATTTAACAGAATATTGGAATTTTCTCCTGGAAGAAAGGAATAATGAGACTATTTCCCTCATGCAGAGTGTGAAGTTATTTTAAACTGGATCAATAACAAATATTGCTTTACATTTATGTTTTTTTTTTTGGTCATTTTCCTGCTAGAGGTTTGGGAAATCAGGAGGATTTAAAACACGGACAGGACGCAAGCTTTTCCTTTCAGTCTTATCTTCCTCATGGAAATCACAGCATTAAACAGAAGCACAACTCTTCAGATGCACTGGACGATGTTTCTCACAGAGGACTTCACAGATTTTACCGGATATCGAGAACCGGAAAATTTACCAGAGGATGTAATTATTCGCAGCCCAAGCCGTTGAAGTCACAACAAACGCATTACATGGGATTTATATGGAAATAATCTTACAAGCCTCTGTGAAGTCATATAAACTTTCATATACTATTATTACCAGGAAAAAAAATAAGGAAAAAAGTATGACTTATTTTTCTAGATTCGTAATAATCACATTTAAAGATTTTCTAGATGCACTATATATGTATAAACTTCTCTCACTTATTGGATTATTGAAATTATAAGAAGCATTTTCAACTCTTCATTTAAAATGATTTCATTTCAAATAATCTTCTTCTGTAGAGTGCATTAGTCCCGCTCACTTTTTCAGCAGCGTTGGTTCTGGAAGTATTTCTTCCATTCATTTTTCCCATAAGGATTTTTTTTTTTAAGTATTCGCTAAAATGTTGAAGCCATGAACCACGAGGTTACGAGGTGAATCGCAACATTACAATCTTTGATGTGAAGCAAGTATTTGAAAATGAGACAAAAAGACAAAGGTACAAGACTGTGTACTTAACAGCTTTAGTGAGAGAGAAAAAACTACAATCCCATGAACCATTGCAAATGACATAATCAAATTAAAAACTATCCATTTAAAGTTGTTTGAATAAACAAAAACAATATATTTTAAGTTCAGTGCTCCTTTGATGCTATTTGCTCACTGCGACTCTGATAGGTGGAATTTTCTGTACAGCATCATGGGTAATGTAGTTTTTCACCAGGTATTCGACTGTTAAACATGATTATTTAAAGTATACTGTAAGTTAAAATAATGCGACCTGAAGGCTTCAACAAAAGCATGTATCATTGATTAACAACCCTGGCCCTCACAGTAGGTCTGTCTTTAATAGGCTATTGTTAAAAATCAATTTCCCTATGGAGTAAATGAACTTCATTTTTACTTCTGGAACCCAACTGTTGCACTCTATTACAACTACAGGCATAATCATGGTAACAACAGTGAACATTCAACTTTCTGTGACAGAAAGCCATGTGATACAGTCGTCATAAAGCTGCGCTCACACAAAATTATGATGAACTCGGCAATATTGAAAAAAAAAAAAATGTTTGGCCAATACAGGATTTAAATGTCTCAGATTGGGCTGTTGGTGCAATATAAAAGAGCAAGCTGTTACAGGAAAGTAGATTACATTTATATTTTATCGTTTTCAATTTATTTTGAATGTATTTTTACAGAATCCCTAGAGTGTGACATCACATCCTGTCTGTGACCGCACTCTCTACACCTGCACTGAACACTCAAACAATGTTCCTGTTGTGAAAATGACGAGGAACATCAGAGCAAATAAGATAACCTGGAGTGTATTTGTGCATCACAGGTCTGAGAGAGTAATGAGAGCAGCTCAGTTTGTCTTCGGTGTACAGAAAGACTGTCCAGAATGGAGAGAAGAAATGCAGTCACAGGTGAAGAAAAACACGTCCAGGAGATACTTCAAAACAGAAATAGAAATGATAGATTGCATTAAAAAATGAAGTGAAAAATGAAAATCAAATGGCTTTCAGAACCTATTTTTTTTACATTATTATTTTTATAACAATTAAACAGATCTTACCCAGAATTCTCATTACATTAATTAATACATTCATGTTGAACAAATTAATCAAATTATATCTAATACACAAACGTATAAATGTTTAGTTATATATATATATATATAGAGAGAGAGAGAGAGAGAGAGAGAGAGAGATTAATTACACACAAATTCAATTATTATTAATAATTATGAATATTATATTATTAATAATATTACTAATAATATTCAGTAACTCATTAATCATATTATTATTATGAATTATTTTTATTATGTATAATATATTATAATATATTATTACACACACATATATATATATATACTGTATATTTATATATACAAACACACACACACACACACACACACACAAGTGATTTAAATGCATTACCGTAATGAGTATTGCAGGGGAAAATATGCTTAATTGTAAAATAAATGTCAGTACAAAAATTCTTGAACATTAAAAAAATAATTTTCCTTAAGCTAAATAAAAGTTATTTCTTTTTTAACCTTGATTTTAGAGAGAATAATACATGTCTTTGTCATTCAAATTTACTCATATGGCCAAATACAGAGAGAGATGAAGAAAAAAGGGTCAAAATGAGAATCCCACAACCTCATGTCATTTCTACGTCAAGCACTGCTATGCTTTTAAACATCTCTCAGCTTCAGCTGACACACCGACAGTCTACAGTAGGGGTGCCCAACCCTGCTCCTGGCGATCGACTGTCCTGCAAAGTTCAGCTCCAACCCTAATCAAACACACCTGAAGCAACTAATTAGGGTCTTCAGGATCACTTAAAAATTAAATGCAGGTGTCTTTGATTAGAGTTGGAGCTAAACTTTGCAGGACAGTCGATCGCCAGGAGCTGGGTTGGGCACCCCTGGTCTACAGGAAGAAAACTCCTCGTTCTTTCCTGACAACATACAGGACACATACACACTGCAAACTGACAAACGCATTTATACATCAAATGAGTCGAGGCACATACTGCCGTCTGCGTGATTTTACCACTGCACCTTGAAAAGCCAAACGCACATCTCAGATACATTAACGAGTTGTTCGGTCTGGTTCAGTAGGCATGACGTGGATTAAATGAACATTCAGTTTTCACTACCAGTGAGTGAAATGCAATGCAAAGAACAGTGTGTACAGAACTGAGTACAGAGTGAAAACCATACTGAAAATCACACACCCATTTTTAGATGAAAGAACATTTAAGTGATCAAAATATCTAGAAACACAGGGTTAAAATCATCTCCAACGATACCGATTTCAGCCCACAGAATGACATCACAAGAGCAAAGCATTCTGGGAATGTGACAGCAGAGGCCAAAAACAGGGTGCCATCTGCAGATATGTGCCAAAGTCTTTTGAAAAGGGCAAAATAATCCACTTGACTGACAAAAAACCACAGCATTCCACTGAATTCACTCTCCATTTTGGCAACTTCAGAAACACAATTCGAGCTCCTCTCGTATCACAGCAGTTGTGATTCTCAATAGCTCTACTGTAGCCTATGATTAGATGTTTTCTGTTCCTTAAAAAAAAGTGCAATTGATTTATTATGTGCAATATTGTGTATTTTATACAGTTTTTAAAACCATTTACTATACAAAATAAAACTTGAAAAAATACAAAGAGTGGCTCTGAGTCTGTCTGATGCTTCAGCGCACTCACTTCTGGATGTATATCGCATTTTTAAAGCTTTTTTTATCCATAGGCATGTAAAAAATGAAATTAATAAAATATAAATAAATGAGTAAAAAAATACTTGTGAAAATAAAATAGCATTTTATTCAAAGCAAAAATAGTACCGTATTTGGAGTAGAAACAAATGATTAATTTATTAATTACATATGATATAAAACTGTCCATTTATTCAACTATTTAACTCATAAATCACTGCAGCTGAGGTAAATAAATCAGAGGTTGCTGACATTAACCAAGCTCAACTGGCATGAAGTATAAAAAAACTCAAACGTCATGGTAACAGTGAGTTTTCCATGGTGATCTCGCATCAGGATTGTGTAATGTCGTACTTCACTGGAAATGTGGTTTTTGATCTCAGGGACCCCACTGTTGCATTGCAGATGCTGGAATGTAATTATGTGAGAAAAGTAGCTTTAGATTCTAAAGGAAGTGAGAGCTGTTCCCCGTCAGGTTCACCATTTATCCACCCAGATTACACTGGATAATAATAAACCCACTGCAGCGATCCAGGAGCAGCAGGGAGAAAATAAATAAGTATAAAAATACAGACCCCATGACTACGATTCACTCCAGATGGCAACAGTAAGTTCATGGGATTGATTCTGTTGAAATACTTAATATTTGTACAAAGCCTGATGTGAGGATCAAGATAATGAGGGAAAAAAAAAACACAGTTTCAAAAAAACACCCGAGGCAAAAAATAAATAAATAGAAATAAAAATATAAGCAATAAAAATAAATAAAGAAAAATAAAAATGGAATGGAAAAAAGCCCATGTGGACATTGAATTTATCAGATAAAATAAAATGTGATAAAATAATTTAAAATAAAAAAAAATGACCAGGTGATTTATAGTTAACTAAAGTTAAATAAATTATTTTATTTACTACACTTTGAATAGGAAAAAGAAGCCAATATGGATACTGATGTAATTGTGCATCCTCAATTTAAAATCAGATAAAATAAAAAAAAAATCATTTTGGAGGAAATATATTATACATTTTTTTTTTTTTAAACAGCCCTACTACACGTAATAAAAGTAGAAAAGCTGCATTAAGTCACCTGTTAATGTTCCTTTTCAAAGGGATCCTCAATGTATTTACCTCCCTCACTTTCATTCCCAGCAGCAAAGCAAAGGAGACTGAGAGTTATTAAAATTCTCGAGGTCACAATGGAGTGCGTGCACGTTTCCATGTTTATTAAGCAGGGAATTCCCATGCATGCTAGCAGCGGCAACCGTTCGGTATTTCCCATGCGAGAGAGTTTGGAAAAATCATCTGAAAAGCACTTAAAGGAGGACAGTCAGCAAAAACCTACAGATAGAAATAAATCAATCCAAAGAGCCTCTCTATCATCACAAATGTATATTTAATGCAGAGAGATTGTGGTGAGAATGTAAATCTAGGAGGGCTTTGCTGCACTGATGCTGCAGACCACACCTGCCGT